CATAAAAAAAAATCTGTCAAAACACAGGCAAAATAAATACACAGTTACAAGTATAAACACCACACCTAAATAAAACGTATGTCAGCTAAGAAATGATTGACCTTTGTGGCCAGGGTTAGGCCACAAGGGCAGTTACTTCATATCATTTCTTAAAACTGTATTAAAAAAAGAAATTCCTAGCATAGCCTACCTGGCTGAACAGGTAAACCATGTGCCATAAGGTTGTTGCAGAGGACTGAATATGGGACCATTTACTGCAATTTTTCTCCCAGTTTTCCTGCCTTCTTTCTGTCCCAGTTAATATTTTTAAATGGGATATTTATTAAAACCAGGTGTATTTTCTTTGTGGGGTGTCATCGAGACAAAAATTAATTTTGTTTTGTTTTCTCATTTAATAAATTAAAATCGGAAAAAAAATGATTTAAGAACATTTCATTTGGGAGATTGAAAATGGTCAGCACCCCAGATGTACCTTATATGTAAAGTGAATGCAAGTCTATCACATTTCATATATAACCTCTGTCATGAGCCAAATAACAATGTGTTCCTAATGATGTGACCAGTGACTTCGGGGAAGAATTTGTAAATTATTTTTTCGCCTTTTTATTGTATATTTCGGACAGTTTTCAAAGGGAACATCAGACAGGAGCTGACGTTGTTTCTCAAGGTTGGCGGGCGCCAAAGTTTTATGAATGCAAGGCAAACCCAGGAAATACTTTTATTAAGCTAACTACACCTGTGCACCGAAGTTAGCCTTAAACGTACCGCTAGTGCTAACAAACAGGCAGCAGTGCTCCGATAAAGCAACGGGGTGAACAGTGAAGGTAACCAGTACTTTTTAACATCACTGTGTGTTACTCATAACCGGGTTAGAGAGGTCAGTCCCGGTCAGAATATAACAAGCTAACATCAAAGTGTAGCCAGCTAAAGTTAGCTAGCTAAGTTAGCTAGACTTTGTTTAGTTAATTAGCTAAAAGTATTAAACAATAAGTAATATTTAATTAATTAAAGTAATACGTAATTAACAGGAATCAGTTTGGGTGTAACCTTACTTTCTTGGGCATTAAATCACTGAAACCAAAAGGATTAAAATTAACATTTAGAGTATTTAATATGTTCAGTTCTTACTCTTACGTCTTATGTCTTACTCTTATTGAGGTACTACTAACTTAGGGGATTAAATTGAGCTCCAGGTATGAGTTAATTTTATAATTAATATTTTAAAAAATATATAAAATAACCAGCTGTTATAAATTACACAGCACCATTAAGTTTGTGAAACAACTTTAGCAGCGCCACGGTGAAAATGGTGATCATCTGCCAAAAAGTGATTTCTGATATTAAACTTTTGTGGACCTATCATCTATCAAATGTGTCTCTAATGAATGATCAAAAGCCATTATGTAAGCGAGTAAGAAAAGACCTGCCAGCATGTAGAAGTTGCAGCCACTCTTTGGCAAAGTCACTTTTATATATCTTTTGTTTATGTGGGCAAAATGTCTCATTGACATCAAAAATCTGGTATAAAAAACTGCAAGAAATATAATATAACACTAATATCAAGACATTTAAGTGGCCAAAAGGACTGGATTGATTATAATGTGAAACAGACTACATACAATAATGCACAGTTATAAGGATGCTTGCAAAGCAGGTCATTTTTAAAAATTTAAAATTTTATCTATAACACCTTATAATGCCCGTTCATAATGTAAATAAAGATATTGGACTATTCATCTTAAGAACTAATCACTGTGCAATAGTCTGACAATAGTCAAAATACTGTGCAACAGACATTTTCCTGGAGGAACCTACCCGAGGGATCTATCTATCCGTCTTCTGTATCTTATCAGTTTCTCACATAGCTGTGGAGAAATTTTGGGATATTCCTCGTTGCTTGTGTTCTGGTTTTGTTCAGATCTGCTGCCATGTTCATTCTAGACCAGGGGTGAGCAGGCCTCGAGGGCTAGTGTCCCTGCAGGTTTTAGGTGCGTCCTTGAACCAACACAGCTGATTTAAATGGCTAAATTAGCTCCTCGACATGTCCTGAAGGTCTCCAGAGGCCTGGTAATGAACTAATCATGTGATTCAGGTGTGTTAACCCAAGGTGCGATCTAAAACCTGCAGGACACTGGCCCTCGAAGCCTGGAATTGCCCACCCCTGCTCTAGACAGAAGAGTTTTTTCCCTTAACCCTTTCTAACAAGCCATACTTTTTCAGTTTTTTTTCTAATAATAATGTCATGAACATTAACATTAATCGTGCTAACTGAGACCTGTAGAGCCTGAGATGGAGCTCTTTGGTTTTTTTGCAGTGTCTCTGAAGATTGCATGGTCTGATCCTGTTGTGAATTTGCTGGGACGCCCTCTCCTGGGAAGATTGAGTCTTTATGTTAACACACATCTGAATGCTCCAGACCATTAAACTGCCAAAACTTCTGCTTTTATAGACATGCTCACGCCTGCTGATACCTCATTAATCAGGTGCATTTGATTATCAGCACCTGGCTGCTACTTACCGGAAGTGCACGATAAACAAATCAAATATCTAAGAAATCAAATACTTCATCACAGGCACTGGGAAAATCCTGCTCAGTAATTTTGACCTTAGAGTATTTTATTTAGTTGTACATGTTTCTGTCTGCTGTTTTCAGGAGTGCATCACGACAGATGAGTAAGATGAGGCACTTTGCTGATGAAGAGCTCCTCGGACTCGGTCAGAAACCACCTGGCACTCGTGAAGAGACTCCAGCTTTCTCAGACATGAGCCCTACCCCCATGGCTAACGGCATGAACCAGAGAAGTGTGGTGTGTTTCCCCTTGATCTCTGAGAGTAGGAAGCTTGTGTGGGTGCATTCGCACCAGATCGACTCACAGATACACGGCGCTGCGGAGCTGGACGAGGCCTTTGACAGGTTTCCCTACCTAACACACAGACAGACCGCCGAACTGGCAGAGAGTTGCCACCTGCACCCAGACCAGGTGAAGGCGTGGTTCATGGCACAGAGGCTCCGCTACGGCATCAGCTGGGACTATGAAGACATCCGTGAGGTCCAAAGGAAGTTCAACTCAAGTCAGGAAAAGAAGGAGCTTCAAGGCGGGACGGAGAGAGAAATAATGGAGGACGGAAGAGAGAAGAGAAAAGTGAAAGCAACTGGTGGGAATGCAAAGGGAAGAGGAGTGAGAGGAGACAGCGCAAATGTTAATGAGCAGTTGAAGAGAGACATGAAGGAGCAACCAGTGAAGGAGAAAAAAAGCAGCACGCAAAAACGAAAAAAGACAACAGCAACAGACCAGATGGGAAAGAAGATCATGAAGCGTGATAAGGAGGAGATGATGGATAAAGTGGAAAGTGGGGGAGAAAAATGCCCCAAGCGTCGTGGCAGAAAAAGAAAAAAACCAAGAGTGATCAAAAGTTGCATGCAAGAGGAGAGTAATGCACCTCCGGCTCCCAGCTCTCTGCTCGGCCCCCAGGCTGAAAACCAAACTTCTGATGCATCTCCAGCGCCTGACAACCAGACACGTCTGCTGCAGAGAGCCGGCGATCCCTGCTCTACCATAGACGGCGACTTCAGGGAGAAAAAAGAAATCGAGGGTGCAGATCTGCAAGCAGAGCCGGACCACAGCGTTTTCATCACAGATATTGACAAACTAAAGGCCCTCATCGAAGTGAAAAACACCCCCTCTTCCGCAGAGCCTACACCTACTACTCGGCTCCACTGCAAGACGCCGGCCCAGCTGGCAATGATGAAGATGGCGTTCCTGCAATGCCAGTACCCAGACAAGGAGCAGTACAGCCGGCTGGCAAGGCTGGTCGGTGTGCCACGCTTGGCGGTCATTCAGTGGTTCGCCGACATGCGCTATTTCATTAAGAGAGGGAGGCCTCGTTGGATGAATGAGGAGGAGCACCATCGGGTACTGGGCAACATCATGTATCAGCAGTACATGAACGCGATGACTAAAGTAAAGTTGCCCAATAGCATTAACTCCTGGATTATGATGCTCGAAGGGAACAAAGGCTACAGCGAGGAGAAAAATGTGAAGATCCCTCCAGAGTAGAAATAGCACAACAGCTCTTATGGCTCATATAAAAACACAGCTGGATCGTTTTTTAGTTCATCTGTTCTTCAGGCAGTTGTCAACTTGTTTATCAAGGTCCCATGTTAGACAGACCCCCTGATTCCATGTTTTTCCTGCTGTTTTAGTTAGTGTGTTCAAAAGATCCTCATTCGGATTCTAGGTGCAGTTTTAGTCTGTTTATGCTGTGCAGCTGTTTTCACTGTCTTAATAAAAGCACTTTTATTGCTCTTTCAGCAGGACTCAGCTGATTAGTTACAGCAAAACACAAATTATTCCTCAGTGCGGACAGAAAACACAGGGATGTTTGAAAGAAGACACATGTTTCAGCATGTAATCCACACTAAATTACACTAACACTGGACACTTTAAAACAGTGGTGTCAAACATAAGGCCCGGGGCAAAGAATCGGCCCAATAAAGACTTCAGTCCTGGACTGAAACTGTGAAGGAGAGTGTAGATTTTGGGCTTTTCACTAAATTTTACATGTTTTCCTACTAAGAGCTCTGCAGGTCATTCATACTAAACCAAAGTAATTAATAGCTAAATGACAGAGAAGTTATTTTTTCCCCACTGTGTACATTTCTTTCATTTTCTGCTATTTAGGTTAGGTTCAGTTTTATACTTAAAGACAGTCTAGAAAATGAGCTACCAGAAGTTTCTGTTATTTTACACTTTTATTTCTTACAATTTAAACCCAAAGAGCGCTTATTTTTATTATAATAACATACTATGTCCAGGATTAAATGTGCAGTTAAACCTCAGTGCAGGAGTTTTACTGGTCTGGCCCTGCTGTGAAAGATATTAAGTGGGTAATATTTCACAAGTTAGCCAGCTATCTTACTAAATCTTGCTTTGTTAGAGGCAAAAAGTATTAAAAATCAGTTTTAAACCTGAAATATGATTACAAAAATACGACATCTATTCATACAATCACAGTTAATATTTACAGATGCTACCTCAGCAGATGTTTCTCTTAACAAGGTGCTTTCTTTTTCCTCTTCTTAAGGAGGTAAAACATAATTTTCCAATACTGTAGGTACTGAAGGGTTAGAGTAAATTGAGAGGCTCTCAAACAGGTCCAGCAGTCACACAAAAGACCTCATTACTTTAGGTTGCATGTAAACGGGTCCATCTCAGTTCCATCTGGCTGCGTACTCCGCCCTCTGCGGCTGCCAGAGCTCTGCGCCTTCGATGATGCGGCGGATCATGGTGGCAGACGTGAGAAGCAGGTGTCCAGCAGCCTGAAGAAGGGTGGAGGCCACACGCAGCACTTCTCTGGGAACAGCACAGTGTTATCAGGATTAAAGGTCAGTGCAGATTCTTCAGCCTGAACCAGAAACATCTAATGTGATCGTTAAGCTTTTAATAGCTGGCTGTGAGTGACAGCTGCTATTTCTCTTATCCTCTTTTAAAGTTTAAAGTTAAATAATCCAAAATCTGTAGAAAACAGACTTATACACAAGTATTTCTTTAGTGTCCTTTTATTCAGATGTTATACTGTTATTATTTGAGGTACTAATCTGGGAGTATAAAATCAAGAAATATCAGAAAAATCAAAGCAAATTTGTGTAATAACATTTATCGTGTGGATCAGCTGAACTCCACCTAACTATTAAAATGTATTTGAAGTACATAACACAGGCTGGAGCCAGAGCAGGCAGGAAACCAGGTAACTTACTGCACCCTTACTACTTCCATAGGAATTATTGTGCTGCTGCTGATCAAATGCATTTTGTTAACTGAGAATCAGAAGTTCTGGCAGTCTGCTGGTCTGTGTGATAACACCATGCAACATCCCAGCAAATTTACCTCAGGGTCAGGTCATGCAATGCTCGGAGAAACTGCAAAATCGCAGTAGCTACAGCTGAGACTCTACAGGTCTGAGTTATGATGTCAAATATTAAAGTTAATGACAGTGGAGTTTGAAAAAGACTGAACAGGTCTGTGAGCCTAAGCCTTGATGCCCAAGCCAAAATTGCATCTGAACAATCCACAGAACATCTGAAACAATGTCCTTTAAGATGAGAACAAAGTGGAGATGCACAGCACCACATTTAAAGAAAACCAAACTCAGCCTATCAGCAAACACACCTCACACCAACTGTGAAACACGGTGGTGGAGGTGGTGATGATTTGGGCGTCTTACAGTCAGTGAGTTGACTGTGAACTCCTCTGTATACCAAAGTTTTATAGAGTCCAATGTGACGTGTTAAAGTTATTGCTACCGTTCATTTTTATTAAGTGCAAACTAAAGTCTGTATTGATGCTAAAAGACTGAATTTTTCTTCTGCCACTGAAAGCTTGCACAGCACTACATATCCAAATGAACCTTTATTACCCTCCTAACCTTTTCACTTGGCTTACCTGAGAACTTTCTTGGGCCCAAGACACTGAAAGTCAGCGCTCACTGAGTACAGGCCTTGAAATGTGGCCTGCACATTCAATGAGCCAAACACATCTTTGGGGCTCATCCTGTAAAGGTCAAAGGTGACGCGGGCTATGTCTCTCCCAGTACGTGATTTGTTGTGGTCTTGAGCTTTGGGCACAACTGCACCCTGGGGGGCATCAGAGAGATTAGAAAACTGTCACCAAGAGACAAAAAGCACACCCTAAACCCAGACACAGCTTCTGCGGTCAAACCCACCTGTTGTGATCTCCACGTCTGTCCAGGCTCCAGGGCCATGAGCATGACGTTGTCGGGTAGGGTCATGAGGAACTCATCAGAGTCGACTTCTGTACCGTCATCCTCACAAACCAGAGACAGAGACACAGCAGACAGCGAGAGCAGCAACGCCTGGCATACCTGTCAGTATGAGGACAGTAAGCAGTCATATACAGAGAATATGAATTAGTGATATTTACTTCCCAGCTGTAAAAAAAACAAACCCTCATTCTTAATCATTTATTAGCATTAAATAATAATTCAACATGATATGGACTTGAATGGAAACATTTCCATGCCATCTTAAGGACTTAGTCTTAGCCTTTGTTAATACCATGATCATCAGTTAATAAACCAGTTTTTATGGCACCCAATTGGCAAGAAAAAATGCATTTGATCAGCCTCTAGGTGGAGCTGTTGTACACATAGCTGATATTCAGCTGGCGTTTGGAAATGCAGTTTGGCCCTCTTATATTCTGCAGGCAAAGGCAGTGAATATTTGACTAATGACTTCATGTGATCCTATACAAAAATTATAGATTATGATATCATGTTTTTAGATGATGTCATGGCCTTAAGGTAATGAACTATCTTCTAAAAGATTATTTAATCCTCTTTTATTGCCACATTGAAATCATTTGCCCTATTAATTAATTTTATAATTTTAAAAGCTTATTTCTCTTTTTTCAAATTTAATAGATTTCTTAATCTTCTATTTTATTTTGACATTTTTGGCTGAAAATATTTTCACCCTATTGAGAACCTTTCCTCAGTCACTCTCACCCTCTCCTTCAGCTCCTCCAGCGTCCCGGCCGTGACGCCTTTCCTGGTGTTCCTGTTGTGACAGCACACTCTGAAAGGTCTCTGTGTCGGGGACCACACTCGCTTGGTTACAGACCTGAGGACAGACGAGACAAAAAAAGGTTTGAAAATAATAGAACGGTCTCTTTAACAAATGTTTGACTTTTATCTGAGAGGATGCTGGTTTTGTGTCCCAGTAGGTTATATTAACAAGCTGATATTACCCGAACATGACCCCAAAATCTATCAACTAAATTGCATTGAGCCGTTTTTAGTTTTGTTATTTACACAAAGTACTTAACATGAGTCAAACTGTTATGTGAGTTTGATCCTTGTGCGATAGAGACCATTTTCACATACATTCCTTTTTTTATTGTTATTTCTATTTTATGCACCATCTGTATTTCTATTTACATTAAATCATCCTCTCAATTTCACTCTTCCATTGTCACACTGATTTTACCTGCTTTTATTTTATTTTACGGTTTTTCTTAAACATTTTAATCTGAAATGAGAAAAAAGTTTTTTTCATACCTCAGTCTTACATAAGTCACAGTACTGTACATTTTTGGGAACACCTGTCGAATCATTAAGTTACTTATGCCTGTTTTACGATCGTATCAAGCTGCAGACAGCAGCAGTGTACTAACTGGTACGTTAAAACTCATTTGTCACTTACTTGATGAATGAAGATGTTGTATCCATGCTGGTTAGTTTCTTCCCTTCTCGTCTCTCAGCCTGATGTTTTTGGGGCTGTTTTGGTGTCACACACTGTATTAGTGTTTGTGCTGCTTGTGTTTGACCCAGTTGCTGGACTTTACCCCGGGACTTGGTGATAATTCAGATACAGAACAGAACAGGGTAAAGTTCATATTGATTGTGTTTGACTCAGACGTGCCTTCTTTTATCTGAAAAGCAGAATAATGATATCTACAGCTGATAATTCAGAGGTTGTTTCCTGTGTTTTTATAACTGAACATAAACAGTTTTTTAAGAAGTCTCTTTTTTTTTTCTTTAAAGAATTATTAGATGGTGTTAGCTTTGTTGGGTCTGTAAGCCTGTATACTGGAGACTGTTTTATGTTGTAGGAGATAACTATAGTGCGTTGTAATCTTTTTGTAATTTTTGGCTGACATAAGGTGTTCAATAAATCATTTAAACAGAACCTGTCTGACAAAGTGAAGTAGGCTAAAAGATCTCAAAAAGTAACACATTATGCCACGATCTAAAGAGACTCAAGGACAGCTGGGAAGCAAACTGACATCTGTCTGTATGGAAAGGTTTGAAAAGTTATTTCTAAGGCTTTGGGATTCCAGTGAACCATACTGAGAGCGATTTTCCACAAAAGGAGAAAACTTGGACCAGTATGAACCTTCCAAGTTCATACTAACAGTCAAACATGGTGGTGGTAGTAGTGTGATGGTCTGGGGTTGCTTTGCTGCTTCAGGATGGCTTGCTGTAATTGTTATAACCATGAGTTCTGCTCTTTACCAGAAAATCCTGATGAGACTCACTGAAGGACAAGTTCACCTGGGCTATGGAAAAGATCAATGATCCAAAACACATCAGCAATTCGACCTCTGAATGGCTTAAAAAAAGAAGAAGAAAGACAAAGTGTGTCAAAATTCCTCCAATGTCACGTGAAACACTTATTGCAAGTTATTGCAAACACTTGACCGCAGTTTTGCTGCCAAGTTGGGCACAACCAGTTATTAGGTTTAGGTGGCAGTTATTTTTTTCAGAGGATCAGGTAGATTTGTACAGATTTTTTTTCGCCTTAATAAATAAAACTATCATCTAAAAACTGCAATTTAGAAACAGTAAATAAACACTTTCGGGTCGTTATAAAGATATAAACTAAATTAATTATTAAATTAATCTAAATGAATCTTTTCTGGTATTCCTCGCCTCAGCTAATATATAATTTTCATTTCTATTTACCTTTTTTCCATTAAATGTTTTCTTTAAATCATGAAGTGTTGGCTGGCAGGCAACGTCAATACGTCATTTCCTGAAACCAGATTGGGTGCGCTTGTGTAAAACGTTTCAACACACGCCAGGGGTGGAGTATTGTGTTTTGATCTGAAGCACCGCCCATTCGGCAGATTCCAATGAACACTGCGAATGACTGCGAGCCTGTCAGTGAAGGCGGGAGGACGAGAAGGCAAACTTTTGATGGACGTGAACGAGCTTTATTTGCATCGCGGGAACAACAGCAGTGCCATTTATGTTTATCAACAGGTGACTCCAAACAGTACTCGAGCTAGTATGTGTTATTATTCCTAAATAAGTTCCTCAGCATTCAGTGTTAGTGCCCGTGCTATTTTGAAGCTCAGTGCGGTTAGAAGCTCTCCAAGTTGCTAAGCTAACGTCAACTTTAGAGCCGGTTTCCTTCTGGACTTTTTCAGTGGAATGGCCCCCAGAAAACCAAAGGGAAGCGGTAAGCGTAACGTTTAAACTGGACGTGTGGTGATTGATGCCACTATTTCCAACTTTTACTGTCAGGAGCTCATGCAAGTGTGATTCAGTACTGTAGTCTATTTTTGTTTCTTGCGCAGATGCCAGCCTTCCTTTCGCTGCTCTCCAGCTGCTTGCCCCGCCTGTGCGTCTGGTGTCTGCAGCCCTGTGGAAGGTGCTGAAGCGAAGGGATGTGATGCAGTATGGGGTTGTGGAGGAGTTCGTGACATCTTCCTGTGAGGCTGTGCCTGGGTTGCTCACTGTGAGACACCAGGGCAGGCTGACAGTGGGGCTGAGAGCAAGAGTGAGTATAACAGGAGAAGCTTCACCTCTGTTGCTTGTGAAGCTCGCACAAAAGAATTTCACTCACATGTACCTGCACATGTGATGTGACAATAAAAGTGATTTGATTTGGAAATCGGATTTAAATGTGTGCTTGAACCACTGTACTGTGTCCAAGAATGGCACAGTCCCAGTCTCCACCTCTGCAGCTTTAGCCTGGAGTTTGCATGTTTATTAGGGCTTTGACATAGTATTAAAAAGGAAGCACACCATCATAACCTCATTGCTGGAAGACAGCACAGCATCGATTAGGAAAAGTAACACTATGAACAAACTTGGAGTCATTTCTGACCAGGATATATCCTGCAGATTGCAAATTGAAATATTATGCAGGACTGCTTTCTTTTATCTGCTCATCATCTTTAAAATTGGAAGCACTCTGTCTCAGTGAACCTTTTTCATGCATTTATTTCATTTATTGCTTCTAGCCTTTAAAATTATAATTCATGATTATCAAGTTGCTCTAAACACTCCTTGAAAACCCTTCAGTTGATCCAAAATGCTGCAGTGAGAGTACTGACAGGGACTAGAAAGACGGAGCATATTTCTCCTATATTGGCTTCGCTTCGTTGGATCCCTGTTAAATCCAGAATTTAAAATCCTTCTTCTTGCATACAGCTTGTCATTAATAGACCTTATATTATCCCTACAGTACACTTCCCTGTGAGAGTGCGTGTTTACTTGTGGTTCCTACAGTATTTAAAAGTAGAATGGGAGGGAGAGCTTTCAGCTTTCAGGCCCCTCTTCTGAGGAACCAGTTCCCAGTTTGGATTTGGGAGATAGACACTGTCACTACTTTTAAGATTATGTTACTCATTTTGATCCAGAATACTGTAGGGTCTTTATATTACAGTATAAAGTGCCTTGAGGTGGACTGAATTTTATACCAGTGGGGAAAAAAGCCATAAAGACAAACTAAATCTTTGAACCTTTCAGTTACGAACCTTTCAGCAGACAGACGTTAGTGCCTATGTTATGCCCCTCAGCACTTGTTGACGCCGCTCTGTGCCTTAAAGTGGTCTGACACTTCATGGTTGAGTTGCTGTGGTCCATAAACACGTTCACTTTGCAATAACACCACTAAGAGTTGATGTTTGAATATCTAGGAGGGAAGAAACTTCACAAACTGACTTGTAACAACAGTAGCAGTTACCACGCACTCATTCTCACACCATGCAGACCTTTTTATAGAAGAGAGGAAAAACACACCAGTGATGCAAAATTACAAAAATATGATGGCGGTCCTATCGGAGGCTATGAGAGTGGAGGCGGGGACTGTACCTGGTGTTTCTCTGTAGTCAGATGATCTTTACCTCGTTCTTTTTTTGTTTGTTTGTTTGTTTGTTGTTTAACAAGTTGATCTTGGAGCTGTGCAGTTCACAGCCTGATGCTGAGGTGATTGAGGAACACCTGGAAAGAGTCCGTGTACCTGCTGGAACTTCTTCAGTAAGTGACCTCACAGATCACACTGCCGTTTTTCACAACTTTTATTCTGTGGCGAAAATTTGATACTGATTTCCTCAGTGTTTTCATATTCCTTCTGCTCTGTGATTGATTCATTTCAGGCACTGACCACAAAACATGGAGCTGATTTCGGAATTAAACATTGCTCAGTTGAACCTTTGATATTTAGGGAAGAGCTCATAGTGTGTTGCAGCACAGTACTTGTAGCTGAATACTTGCATTGTGATGCAAAGATTATGTATTCAAAAAGACGATGTGCCAAATGGGGATTTTTATGTTACCAATCTACATGTCTTATTTGCTTACTTGCAGATTTCCTGATTGTGGAGAAAATAAATGTAATTTCTTCTCTTTTTCTTCCCAGAGTAAGGATGTAAAACTAATGAGAACAGTGAGAGATTTCCATTCTTTGATTCACACGTTCCTCACAGACCCAGCGATTAGAGAAAAGTTCTACAAAGTGAGTACCTCGCCTCTGCAGCACACACTTCAGCACCTCCACCTGTTGATGAACTTTCACGCCCTCTCCTGACAGGAAGTGTTTCCTGTGGATTACGGAGCAACGTTTGACCAGGAGCTGGAGAAGCTGCTGTGGGAGTTTTTGGTTCGACTGGACCAGCTGCTTCCTGTTCCCAACCTAGTACAGGTAATGAGAAAACGGCTGTTTCCATAGCGTTAGCCATGATTTATTGCTCTTATCGTCACTGCTTTAACAGTTTCTGTGTGCAAGAATTGGTCTAATATTTGGGTTTTATTTAATTTTTTTGTCAGACTGCAGCGTGGCTCAGTGACGCCCCCCCTGTCCTGGAGGAGTGTGCACGGGCAGCCACGCAGCCCCAGCTCCTGAAGATTTTACTTCAGCATGAAACCTGCCTTGGCCACCTGGAGTCAGCAGGTTGAAAAAGATAAGATCTGTGTTGTGACGACTGTGACGGGAAGACTTTGAGTGTCAGCTCATGATAATGCTCTTTGCTCTTTACAGCGTCACTACCTCCGAATATGGGAGACTCCATCCTGGCTTCACTCTCTCTGCCACCATCCGGAAGAGTCCCATCAGATCAGCCGACAGCAGCCAGGAAGTTGTCAGTGGATGAATCTGAGGGCGCCGAGCCAAAAAGCAAACCTTCATTTATCGCACCTGTTATTGGACTAATATCGAATGAAGACGTCCCGGTCTTGAACTCTGGCATTAAAAGAACACAGAGAAGTGATGGTCCAGCTGACAATGCTGGACATGAGCAGCTGAACTCCAAATTCACCTCAGTGAAACAGAGGCCAAAAGCCAACGATAAAGGAGCGAAGGAAGGGCGAGAGCAGCTGGAGGAGGAGGAGGGATGCACCCCAAGTCAAAGGAGTGGGGTGAAGCGCAAGAACTCTGACAGAGGAGAAAGCGATTTGGAGGAGGAAGAAGTTCTAAGTGTAACAACACCCGTGGAAAAGAGACTGAGCGGGCAGACGCAGAGTAAAGGTGGCCAGAGGAGGAAGGAAGGCCGAGCAGAAACTATAAGAAAAGAGGGATGCAGCAGGAAAGTCCTGGCAGCCCGGATGAG